GTGAAATTCACCAATTAATTCGTCTGTTCGATCCAAACAATCTGGATTGAGCAGAACATCACGAAAAAACTCTTTTGGAATACATTGGCCATTGTGACATCGGTATTCATTTCCAGTGCATTCATTTATTTCGAGTTGCCAACAATCAGTCTCATCAGATCTATCGAGACAGTCGATTTTTCTATCACAAATATCGTGCCAACTCAAACACAGAGATGAAGTCTGGCAAATAAGATGCTTGTAACACGTCACCTGGGCACCTTCCAAAATTGCAGACTTAGATTTAAAGATATCAGCGACGATTTCATCGAATGATGTGCCAATTGTATATGGGAATGCGAAGCGACAGTGAGGTCCGAACCATGGTGGTGTACAATTGAAGAACAATGTTTTCTCCTCTGAAGGCGAAGGTAAGTCTGGGAAATTATCCAAAAAGATTCGATAGCGTTCAACCAGGTCGATGGGAGCCGATCATGCAAGTAACTGTAGACTGTTGATATTTTTCTCTCTTAAATAGGTAAAAGTAAACCGAGGATGAATCGTATTATTGAAATCGAAGTCTGGAATGAGAATACTTGTTTCTGATGGTCGAAGACAATACGGAATTATCTGGTGTGAAAGTGGAATTTTTTCAGAATAATAAACAATATCATCGCGTACATAGTATAATAGACAAAATCCATCTTGAAGTTGATTAACATTGTACATATTAAATTGATACTGTGATACTGTCTGTAGCTGCCATATAATGAAGAAATAGTGTAGTAACATATTGTAGCAGAAAAGCATATTCAGAAAAAAAGTGATTTAATTGTTGCTTTTATCTTTCTCTACAAAAATCGATGGCATGTTATCAAATAACTATGAATGCACTGAGATCTATAGCAGCTAACAAAATATGAACTCTCTTGCGCATGATTCTTTCCTTCAAACAAAATTGAAACTGAAACTTATTACAATGTTCACGGCACGTTCAACGACTTTTTTATTCATACGTGATGCAAACAAGTGTATCCAAAAAAACGCATTATAATTAACTATTGGCAAAGTATTCTCTTTCTGTTGAATGTATTTTTAAAATGCACGATCTTCTTTCAAATTTCTGTTAGTTTTTTTTAGAATCATTTCCTCAAATACAATTCTGTAGAATCATCTAATTTCTGACTTAGCCATTAATCATCCATCTCTCCACACGTCGGTACCTTCAACTGCTTTTTGATGGGATGGATGGGTGATGGTGTGTGGATGGAGGTGTAACCGTCGCCGAATAGAACGTCTCATTGTTGATAATAATCAGTAACATCTCAAGTGTAATCTATGTGATAATTAGAGATTGCTGAAACCAATAGAACTTTTAAAAACTAGAAATCAGTGTATTTTTTCTTGGATGACATATGGTCTGAAAACCGAGCTGATAAGCAAATATGTCTCTTTATGATTTTGTGACGCTACCATATTTATTAGGTTCTCATTTATCTTGTTTCTTCATGCATAATAGATTCATCGCTATTATTTTCTCATTTTTGTGATTTTTGACTTATTCAGTAATCAGTTTCGACTAACTGTCTAGTTTAAGTTCGAATATAAATGTAACTAGCATTGCTATTCGAATTCCAATCGATACTCTCCTACCAGTTTAGAAAAAAGAAAAATATTTAGTTTGAATTTGAATTCGAATAATCAATAAAAACAAATCTTGTTCTTCTTCTCAACTCACAGGAAACTATTAATTTGAATTTAGAATCAAATTCTAATTTTAAATGCTAGTTTCAGTTACGATCCAACTCAAGCTACCATGCAGGTGGCACATTATCTTTATTTTACTTTGAATAAGTAAAGTAAAGTAAAGTAGACTAAACTAAAATACTGTCATTTGAACGTGTAAAATAAAGTAAAATAAAGTTAACCAAACAATGTTTTTCATGTATTCATAGAAAATCGACATTTTTTGGCTTTACTTATTTTTTTTACACTAATTTTAAGATGAAACGATATTGAATAAACTTTGATACGTTCTAAGATTATTTATACATGATCCTGAACTAAGACATTGCTAAAAAGTTTAAAACATACAACTTCATTTTGTTCACTTTACTTTACTTTTTGGATAAAGTATATTCACTTTACAGGATAAAGAAAAGTATTTAACTTTACTTTATGTGATAAAGTAAAGTTCTAATATTTAACTTTACTTTATCTGATAAAGTCAGGTTCTAATATTTAACTTTATTTGGTACAGTAAAGATAAAGTGCGTGCCCTAAGCTATCATGTTTGAATTTTATTTGTATTTTTGATGGGCCGTCACATTATTGCCATTTTGGCTTATATCATAAGTTACTGTTGTGTGGTTTGAAGTTATGTTATGATGGGATAGTGTGAATTTCTTGAATTAATGAAAATAAAGTTACATCTACTGGGAAAATTTTTGCATAAAAAGACATGAGCATGCTAAGAGAAAAACAACGTTATAATTCTATGAGAACAGAACGTCTAATGTTTGTCTTAACGGTAGAGACCTACGAAAGACCCTGTGAAATAAATTAGGAAAAATTTTGTCATCGTCGCCGCCGAAAACGACCTTCTCGGGAAGAACTTCTCGCCACCGCCGATGCCTTAAAACTTTTTTGTCAGTGTGGATGTGGGTGTGGAATAGAGAGCTGCGGGTCCATGTTTTTTTTGGACCCGGATGGAGTGAGTGTGGGTGTGGGTGTGCGTGTGGTTGTAAATAATTAGTAGAAACACCAATCCCAACCCACACCCTCACACCCACGCCCACATCCACACCCACACCCACACCCCTATAATGATTGAAACAAAAAAAAAACAAGTAGCTGAACTTTTCTATTCTAGTCACTGGTAGATATAACTAATAGAAATATAATTTTATTTAGTAGAATATTAAATCTCTCTTGAAATTCAATGTCTGCTCTACCTTCTTTTTAGTTATTCACTATTTCATTTTTTTTGTTATTCCATACTATTCCAGTGTCAGTTGTGAATAACATTCTGTTCAAAGACTTAAATCTATGTAGCACCTGTTTATTGTACTTCATAAGTTTAAACATTGATGATTTGTTCAAAAATTAGTTTTAGAGACAAAAAAAAGAATTTTAAAATCATTTAATGATGAAATGAAAACGCCTATAAACAAATATTTATTTTAATAATAAGAAAAAAAAATAAAAACAAGAAAATTGTTTTTTTTTTCAAAGAGAAATTTTATCGGTAATTATCAATAAATCAAAGAATATCTTCCATGATTTTAATCTCTTTGATTTCGCATTCGATGTTGTTTATTAAAGATTTTACCATTGAATAACTTACTACGATCTTATTATCATTCCGATGGACAAAAGATGCACCATACTCTCAACTAATTTTCATTACACGACTCATTCGAGAAATAAAAACAAAACATTGATTTCGAAATGCTCTTCTTGGCTCAAATACCAGTATTTCGACTAAATATTCATTCCTCTGCTTGTATCAGAACGAACTCAACAAGGAAAATTTACCGTGACTATTTTGTTTATAATGAATCAAACGTCATATTGTTTTCTATTACAATGGTAAAACCTGCTAAACTTCACTCTTCATTCCTTTTTTTTGTCATGTGA